CCAGGGGCGACACCAGTTCCCATCCAAGGAGGAGGCGGAGTATTCAGCCACCCTGGCCTTCGCAATTGCAGTCTCGGTCAGTTGGTGGGCGGTCCGAGAAGGGCATGCCCGTCTCCACGTGCCTCGGATGCCGCCGCTGGAAGCGTGTGGCCGGAGGCAACGCTGGCTGGACATCGATCCCAGAGCTATGCGTGGCTGGGCCATGACTCCACTGGCCATCACACTCGGCTTGCCACCGCTGCATCCCGAGGAGCGGGCACGGCTGCCCACGGTGGTACGAGTGGCGGATGTGCTCGCAGATGGTAAACTGCCCCTGGACGTGGTCTACGTGGGTCAGGGCCACCACTCACACCGGGTCCCACGGTCTCAGTGGGCATCACCGTTCGTGCAGGGGCACACCTGTACGACGGACGACTGGCTGCCGCTCTACGTGGACTTCGTCCTCGCCAACTTGCAGGCGGAGCTGCCTGCGCTGCAAGGCAAACGGCTGGCATGCGACTGCGGCCCGGACGGTGTCTGCGAGGCAGATGCGCTGGCCGGGATGGTCTTTGATGGGACCCATCCGGATGCCGAGGCCAGCCTGCCCAGAGTCACTGGGCGGCGGCACAGGCAGGCCAGGGGCTCTGTGGTCAGAGCGGCGACCATCATGGGATCGCTCCGAGGCAGTGACGCCCTGAAGTCGATGTCACTCTGGTTTCCGCAGGAGGATGTAATTTTGGCCTTTCGCAAGCTCTACCCGGCAGAGTGGTTCCAGTCTTTTCAGTGGCCCATGTTGGAGGACCTGTTGAACAAGGAACCGTTTACATGCTACCTGGACTGGCGCCAGAGTCGTGGGATGGAGTGGGACGGAATCCTGGGGCCACCCTCTTCGTCCAATGCTAGTCGGAGGCGGCAGCGGTTGGCGGAGGGGAAGCAGCATGGAGCCTACAACCACAAGGCCTCCATTCCACCTCTGGTCGGATATGGGCTGGAGCCGGACGCCCATTTCGCCGCATCAGTGGACCAACACGGCAACCCCGTTGGAAGTCCTTCCTACGTTGGACGACGACCTATGGTACGCGGCCAGCATGGTGATAGAGAATCACGACCTGAAGAGACGCCGCCAGGCGTCCATCGGGGCCATCAAGGAACTGAAGCGCAGGTGGGCACCGGTGTCCAAGCACCTCGTGGCCTTCCAGTCCGAAGCTATCCGAGGAGTTACCTCGAAACGCGATCTGGGTTTGCTGGGACTCTTCGTCGTCCTCATGCAGTGGGGCGACTTCGCCCTCCCTCACGGCTTCATCAAAGGCCTTCCAGCAGTGGGCTATGCCCCGCATTACGGAGTCTTCCCCCACCAACCCGTCGAGGCGATCGCCCACTCGGAGGTACTGGCTGGCTGGGAGGAGCACAACGCCGCTACTATCGCAGGAGTGCGACCGGGTTCCACGGACTCTTTCGTTCTGGAGCAGTCCACAAAGGACCACAAGGAGGGGTTTTGCACCCCCCCCATGAACCTGAGCCAGCTCAAGCGGTATGCCAAAGGAGACCCATACCGGCTTATACCTCGCTGTGTCATCACACAGATAGACGACGCAGCACGGGGCGGGCAGTCTGCATCGTCCAGAGATGCCAACAAACTTGTTTTGTGTACGCCGCTCCGCCCAGCGCTCCACGTCCAAGCCGCGGCAGCCTGCCTTCAGGAGTGCACCTGGGAGCGGTTCGCGCAGCAGGGGCAGTGGACAGGAGCTGGGGATGATTGGCCGAATGCCTACCGCCACTGTCCCATGTCACGACAGGAGGCCCTGGCCTGCGTAGTAGTTTGGTACCACCAGGATTGGCAGGAGCCGGCCTTCCAGGTATACCACGCCCTCTTGTTCGGCCTTCCGTTGGCGGTCACCTCCTTCAACCGCTACTCCCGGATGGCGGAAGCTATGGGCAGGCGCTTTCTGGCAATCATGGTGTCCATGTATTTCGACGACAGTCACATTACAGACCGCGCAGTACACGGCCCATCAGCCCAGTGGAGTTTCGGCGCCCTCAACGACCTGCTGGGGACCCCGTTCGCTGAGGAGAAGCGCCAGGGAGCTGCGGATGTCGGGACCTTCTTGGGGCTTGATTTCGATCTCTCGGAGGTCCACACACATGGGCGCGCGCGGTTTTGGGTTCGAGAGCGACTCGAACAGAAGGTGCTCACCTTCATGCGTGACGCCAGGAGGAGCGGGAAGTTCACCCCGGGTCAAGCTGCGAAACTCTACGGCATGGTCAACTTCCTGGAGCATGGCCTCTTCGGGCGCATTGGCTTGGGCGAAATCCAGGCGTTGAAGGAGCACCAGTACGGGGGCTCCAGCAAGGCCAGCGCCAGCCTGCTGGAGGCTTTTGACGTGTTGGAGGCTGTCATCCGTATGCGCCCCAGGAGAGAGCTGATGGTCCTCCCCATGGATGTGCCGAGGGTGGTGGCCGCCTCGGACGCGGCCTTGGAGGCACCTCGTCAAGGATCCGGCGGATACCACTTGGTCTTCCAGGACGGCGGCGTGCAGATTCGGGAGGCCTTTGTAGCCATCATCCCCGCGCAGACCTACGATATGTGGGGACCAGGAGACCATAAAATAGCCCAGTTGGAGCTATTCATGGTGGTGCACGCCCTTACGGCGAGACCCGACCAATTCCGCGGGAGACGCGGAGTGTGGTTCATCGATAACATCGCCAGTCTTATGTGTTTGATCAGGGGCAGGAGTGACAACCCCGACTTGGCCAAGATGGCGACGTATATCCAGTGTTTGCTCTTTGCGTTGCGAGCCTCACTCTACTGGGAATACATTCCATCCAAATCCAATTGGGCTGACGCGATCAGCCGACTGGGACCCAGTGACCCATGGTACAGGGCCAACCACTTCAAGTTGAATTTCAGTCTTTTCCCTCCAGCTCTACTGAGGCTTCCGTACCGAGCAGTGATTACCTTTGCTGAGTTCCTGTGAGTGCATTGGGAGAGTTTGTGAAATAGGTGGTGAAAGTAAGTGCGTTGGGAGATGTATCCTGCTTGATGCAGGGCATCCAGAGCTTATCGGGGGTAAACCCGATGTGCCGAGGAAATCGGCGAATTGGCTGGGCCACAGCATGAGGAAATTCATGCTGTGGATACCAATGCAAATCCCACAGGAAAAGGTGGGTTGTCAGTCTATCAGACTCGTGTAGCATCGCTGGAGTGAAAATGCTGCGGTGCTGTTTATGTCAAACCTCCTTGGCAATGAAACATGACCTGATTGTCAGGAAGCACATGTCGCGCGAATTTGCATGCGTGCCAGAGTTGATTGGACTTGGCGCTGCCGAGCAAGGCCAACAAACGCAGAGCGAAGTGAAGGGAAACCAAGGCGAGACTGCGGGCAGGAGTTGGCAATACTTGGTCGCATCGTTGCGGGGACTGGCTTCCTCGTGCTGAGCTTGGCACGCAGCGCTTTGAAGTTTCAAGGCCCAACTTCCGTACTGCAACAGCTGATTAACTTGTCCGTGGACAGCCAGGGGTTCGTTGCGGCAGAAGTTTTTGCCGCAATTCCAAAAAGGCGCTTTTCGGATATGCGGCATTTCTTCCTAATTTGCGGCGTTTTGGTTGAGTTGCGGCAGAACTTGTTTTCTCGCCTCCGCCCGCCTCGGCTAACAGGACCGACTTGCACGGCTTCGCACGTGTGACGTTGCGCTCACGTCAGGTTTTGCCAGCCTTTTTCACTAGGAACACGAGGTGAAACCTGCAACGCTGGACCGTCATGCAAGTTACTCAAAGGCGTCCAGCGGCACTGCCGCTGCTCCTTGACGCACTGTGGCTTTCACGTTTGCAGTTTGTTCCACCCCCGGCTTGCGGCGCATACCGGCGGGAATGCGGCGGAAATCGGCGGGAATGCGGCGGAGATTCCCGGAGAAAAAAAGGAGGCCCTGATCGTTGCTTTGGAAGGTTTGTGGGCCCTTGCATGTTTGTTTGCCTGGGGAAAATCGGAAATCCGGGAGTATGCTCAGCCAGCCCGCAACTCTGGGACTGCGTCGCGGCGTTTTTGTTTTAGTTGCCGCGTCTTGTGTTAGTTGCGGGATATTTTCTGGAACGCAGCTGGAAGTTCCGCCGCGATGCAACGCGGCAGAAATTTCAGGAAGTTCTAGGTATGTAGAATGCCTGAATCTTCCAAATCATGGAAATTGAGCGTCAAATCCGGAAACTACCAGTTGTTTAAAAGAACACGGAGTTTTCAAAAAAAACACTCCTATAAATTGATTGTCACTGGTTTGCGCAAACCCCTCAGAATCGCAATTATTCAGTACTTGACGGAAGAAACTATCCAACTCAGCAGCATTCTGAATCAGAATCGCTCACCTGAATCAGAATCTTTTTCAGAACTCAGAATCATTCTGAATGCGGAATTATTGCCTCCGGCCGATACATCTGCAAAGCCGGAAAGCACCACACCTGAAACTCAGCGCAAAGCACCCGCAAGAAACCAGCAAACTCCCACAAAAACCGGCAAACTCCCGCAAATCAAAAAATACAGAGTTTCCGGAGTGGGTCCTCCGTCTCCGGGTTACTTCTCTGCTTTCCGTTCTCCGGGTTATTTCCAGGATGTCCAGGAAACCCGTTGAAAACTAGGAGTTTCAGGTGTTTCAAATGCATGAATCAAAAAGCAGGAGTGGCTTGCAAAAGGCAGGGGTGAAAATCAAACAGCTAGGAGTGGTTCTTGGGGGAAACAATTGGAAACAAGCCTTGTCGTTTTTTTCGGTTTTTGGGCCAGCAACGATACAAGTCTGTACACTATCCCAGCCATAGTGCAACTCTGCACACTCGAGTGGGTATTCCGCTAATTTTAATTAACATGCAGGTGTACAACAATGTATTTTTGTAAAAAATAAATAAATAAACAAATAAACAAAATATAAGAGCATATTTAAAAGAGCTCCAGGCTTGCGGGGGTTGCAGTTGGGGATGCTGGGGCTTATTGTTTCGTTTCTTGAGGTTTGGTCGCGAAAGTCGTCGCGAAGATCTCGAGGCGGCGGTGAAGAGGAAGTCCCAGTCCCGCGGCAAAGACTTCGGGGACGCGCCTCGATCGGCAAGCGGACGGCGCGAAAAGGGGGCGGCTTTGTTTTAGGGACCTTACAGGGGAATGAGACAGAATTTTCTCTATGTCTTGCTGGGTTTTTGTTGGCCATACAGTAGGGTGCATTTCCCATAGGGTGTCTTTCCTATTGGGTGTTGGCAAACTTGCGTATTCAAGCCGCTTAGCAAGGTTATAGCCATGGCTATATCTGGAACTGGGGTTCTCCAAGGTTGTAACCTCGTGGCTTGAACATCCAAGCATGCGGGAACTCACCGGCCTACTTTCTGGACTTTTCACCTTTCTGGGTCTAGAGGAAGCCGTGATGTGTACAGTCCTCAAGGTGAATCCAACATTTACGTCAATCGTAAAATCTACCCTGCAGTTCTCACACTGTACACTCATCTCATTATGAGTTATCGCCATGCCCACCCAGGTAACCAAAAATTCCCTTTGCGCGGGCAGTCAACTTGATGGGTCAGAGTAGGCGTTCGTTCCTGCATGATGGTTCTCCCAAGTTACTCAATATAATGGTGACCAGAGGAACTGGCAAGCAAAGCCCTCAGAGCCAAAAAGGGCGCCCCCGAAAAAACGCGCCGTGTCCGTACTCCACAGGAAGGATTCGAGGGACTCCCCCCGCACGGATCCCCTGTCTCTGGGTTCTGGCACATCCCCCGATCTCAGGGACCCGCCACGAACCACCTGAGAGACCCCTCCGGTTCGGCCTCATTTGGCCTCGTTAGCCCCCCTCGAATCCACTGCTCAAGCCAGACAAAACATTGGTCTCAAATAATTCTCCATTTGGGTGAAGTTTTCAGGGTACCTTTCTTTGTCGAAAACCAAAAGGAAACCCACAATTTTGGAGGGTCCCCCCCTCAAAAAAAAAGGGCACCTGCTGCTTGACTTAGAGGTAGAAAACCCCTGGTTGCCCACTAGAGCGGTAACTGGGAGCACTGGGTTGCCTCTTCTGACTGTTTGCCTTGTTTGTGTTCCTTCATGTTGCCCTTCGACAAACAAACAGCCTGGCTTTTGAGGGGCTATCCACTTGACAAGGCCTGCCATTTGATATTTTGGATTTTGAGGCCTCAAGGGGGTGTACTTTCTGTGATTTTGCAATTCCATGTTTTGCCAATCACGTTAGCCATTTCCGTGTTTGCCATTTGCGGGCAGCACAGGACTTGTCTAGCAGCATATGCATACACAATTTAGTTGAGGACCCTTTGATTGACATCTTCTAGGTTGCGGTTTATGTCCACCAACCATTTGGGAGGAGATTCCCATCGAATCTCTAGCTGTTTGTGTTTCAAGGGATCCCCAAGGCGTGTCTGGCTGCGTTTGGCTCAGGTGCAATATGCTGTGGCCCCAGCCAATGGAGAGAGGCGAGTTGAAGGAGATGTCTTGCTCATGTTTTTTTTGTTTAATAAATAAAAAATACATGGTTTTCAATATTAGAGTTGTGCCAGGTCTTGTTCATTTCCCAATCGGAAAAGTGTACCTGCACTCATTGTGAGCTCCAGGGGCAAGCTTCATGATGCGGCTTTCTTAAGAATTCTTGGTCGGTTTGTCTAATAAATGTGGCGCATGTCCAAAGGTGGTCCTTGACCTGCATTTTGGGTGTGGTTCGGAGCACCAAGAGGACCATTGCAGGTGCTGCAGCTTTTGAGTATCTTTAAGTAGCCTGCTGTTTGCCTTGCGAATCTGCATTCAAACTCTTCTAGTCAACACACCCACGCAAGCAAACCCGCATACCCGCACACGCATTGATCAACAAGCTCGTCATAAACGCACATCCGGGCCTTCTGGAAGCAAATCGAAACATATGCCATAGGGTTGCTCTCGCCGACACGTTGCACGATTCCAAGCTGAAGGCCCTTGAAAGCCAGGGACATGGGCACAAGAAAAGCATTGCATGTTAGACCGAGTAGAACCTGAAGTGCCCCTAGACGGCCATCTCTTTTTTTGTCTCTCTCGCCTGTTCCCGTGAAGGGCAAGGTTTACGGACGCAGGGCCGGTTCTCCCAAGTTCAAGCGACAAGGGGAGCAAAACGAGCGACAGCTTCTGAAGTGTCTCCGGCAAACGGGTGCCCCGAACATCGCAAGGGCAGAGAGCAGAGCCGTTAGCGTAGAAGCGTGGGAACACTCGAGCCTAGGTTTGTTCCCACGCTTTGACCATAAAATTGGAAACCAGCTGCTGAGTCATATTCAGACAGGAGCCCTTCGGAACAGCGTGCAAAGCACCAGGGCAGCAGGTCATGCTCATGTGATCAACCCACAGTCCGATTGTGTTGGGCACCGCTCATGTTGAGCGGGGTCTTATGTTGCGGCTGACCTCGATCCGGATGCCTCAAGTCGATCGAGCATAGGATCGGTCCTTTTAGGATAAAAGGCAAGCTAAGCTTCCATTTGGTTAAGAATATGTTTTATTTCCCCTGTTGGTTTTTAAAGGGAATCTATCACTACTGGATTTTTTCCCAGCGGACTTAAGCAAATGGAGGTAAGGATAGGAGCACACAAACGGCCACAACATGGGGTGTTAGTCCCGAGGTAGTCTACGTGGGGAGCCTGGACCTCCGTGATTCCAGCAAAACGCTGAGCAGCTTGGCTTTTTGCAGCCCGACCAGAATCTTTCGCCAAAATCGAAGGTGTGCTATGAATCACAAACACCAGGCTTCCTTCCACTTGGGAGGCTTGTAAGTTGGCCACAACCTAGGTTACCAACAACTTACTGACTTGACTGATCACCCTAAATTCGGAGACGCGCCCGCAAAGACTTGTGTCTGGGCAATCTTCCGAAAGAAAACTGGGAAGTACAGCTAGATCGGACGGAAGGTATCGTTGGTGGCATAGGACCCTACTAACCTCCCTCGAAGACCCTCAGGGCTAGGATGCTGAATAGCCTTGAGGGGAAACAACGCCAAATAAGGCCTGAACGCTTGTGGAGTATTTTTTGGAGGGGGGCGGTCTCCGCACAATGCTTTCCCTGGCCAGGATATGCCAAGTGTTGCAAACCTCAGGGACCCCTTGTTTGGTTTCAAAAGAAAGCCAAGACGCCGGTCCGATTCCTTTTGCTGGGTTGTTCAAAGGTATAGGGATTATGGATTAGGATTGGCCAACCCTCCATTTTGAACAGCCCAGTTTTGGACTAAGGACCAGGCACCAAGGTTCGGCTGAAGTCCGAGGCTCAGACGGTGGCAGGCGAGCAGATGGGTGTGGTCCTCCTTTTCTTTGTTCGCCTCGTGGGAACTCACGTTTTCCTTTCCTGGTCGCGGTTGGGCGGATTTCACGTTTGGAGCCAAGTATCCGTTTGTTTTGCCCAAAGGACCCACATAAAAGCGGAACAAAGGTAGAACAAAGGGGTCCTTGAGGGGGTCCAGGTTGCTTTTGAAACGAAGCCAAAATTTGCAAAGGGTATATTCTGCTGATTGAGACAACCCCAGATGGGGTTGGTCAACATACCAGTCGCCCATGGTCATGGTAGGCTTCAGACCATGGTCGCAGGGGTTGTTGATAGAAAGGAATTTATCGGAAATCCACATTTGGGTTCCGCGCATGGAGACGGACCCACATATAATATATATACATATATATATATATTAGCCAGACGTCAGTGGACTTTGGGCACTGCTAATTTGCAATTGTGTTGCTTCAATCAAGTAGGGCGATGTTTCACAGGAACATGCCTGGGGTGTCCTTCAAACATGCAAACAAGTTCTATATTTTATAGACGAAACAAGTGAAGCAGAGTCAGAGCATATGGCTGTGGGTCAAAATCAATGGTACCATTTTGGGGTACTGAGGTGCACCACCCATTTTAATTTATTTTAGTGGGGGGTACGGGATTTTGACCCATGGCCATATTTTTTTGTTTGTTTCCGTGTTTCGCATTGGGGCCAAGCTGGAGCGCTGTGACCGGTGAAAAACGATCGAGGCTCTACTGCGACACCAGAGGTGTGGGCGGCCATGATGTGGAGGAGCCCGAACTCGTGAACTGAATGAATCGGTGGACACCCGGCCCCAAGGAACTTGGTGGCTCCCAGCCATCCGGTTCCTTAGCTTTTTAGATCCTTGTAGTGTTCAGTGGTAGTTTCCATTCAACCCAAAAGTCAAACTTGTAGTCGGGGGATCGATCCGAGAGCAGCCCGATGAATCGGCTGAAATCGGGGTGAGCATTCCCGGAACTTTTCGAAGGACCCCTTGTTTTGCCCTTGAGCGCTGCAAAGGCAGAAAAAAGGGTTTCATGTGAGTGTCCGGGGTACTTAGATGGAATGGGAGTTAGCCATGTGGTTTGCATGCCGGTCATTGCTCACTTGAGGCACTTGCAACCATGGTGAGTGGTTTACAACCATGGTTACGAACCATGTAGCCAAGTACCCGACCATCCAACTCCCCCCCCCCCCGCCGGCCCGCACGTGTTTCGATTCTTTGCCACATCCCAAGCCTTGAATTTGCGGAAAAAGCGAAGACTGCAGCGATGAGCGCAGGTCACGGACCAGCCTGTCACTGTGCCGGAGGAGGCGGGAAGGGGCAGCTGGAGTCACCTTCTGAAAGGGTGGCCCCATGTTTGAAGGTTCATGGAGACTCCATGTAAGTGTCCTGGAACCTCAACATGGCCTTTGAGGTTCATCATCTTCGAATTGAGATCCCTTGGCCCCGCTGCTTCGGGTACCCAGCCGTAGACTTTAGCTTGTGGTTCGAAGTTTGGGCTTCCTTCGAACGTTGGTTTCCTGTTGATAGCTCTCTCAAGGACCTTTCAAGACATACCAAACCCATGTAAACTATTTTGCACATCCTTGCAAATGTTTCTTTGTTTGACCAAAACAGCCTCTTGTATAATCATCAGTGACAGGTGTTTCTAGAAGAAATCTGCTCCCCACGAGCATGAAGTCTGAGGGGAGAGGGTTCTGGCGTGGGCCGTTTTCTCGAAACCGGGTACCCTTGAAACAGACAACATCTACAGCCTTTCGTTCCCCATGGAAATATAGCCGAAATCTGGGTCTAAGACCCCAATGACGGAACACGTTTTCTGGGTCCTTGGCTTTGACAACGCTCCCGGGTGCAGGTTCAAGCCGCGGCAGAGGCTGGTGCGAACAGTTTTGCTCACATCCACTTGCGCTTGAGCACCATGCAGAAGTTGGTACCCTCGCCAGTCTCGAGTCTAAGGGGAATATATACGATTTAACCCGGAAGACGCGGTTATTCCCGTGGATGGGTATTCGGGCAAGTTGGTACTGGATCATAACCCACCAACAACAGGGTGAACTCCTCTTGGGGGGCTTATTAGTGGGTTGTCACCTAGGTGAACAAATTAACCACTTACACGCCCAGCTAAGCACCCAAGAGGGAGCATGTTTCTCCGTGAACATCATTGGCCTTTTGTTGGAGGGGTTTAGGACCTGCACTGGAAGGCTGTGGACCTCGATCCAGAAAGAGATGTAGGATGCTTCCAGCCCGCCTTATGATCACTACCTGGCGGGCCTTATCCATCTCTTTTACTTCCTATCTCTTTCATCTCTCCAATCGATTCAAGAGATTGGGAACTAAGAGATGGAAGGTAACGTCCTGACCCTAAGGAATCTTTACCTGTCAGGACATGAGATAAAAGGAGGGATCTGAGGCACGAAGGAAGCGACCTCATCTCCATTTCCCGGCATTTATAATTCCCTTTATTGCCGGGCTTCTCTCCGCGGCTCTTAAAGAATTTCTATCTGCCGCGTCTACCGGTGACACAATGTATCTTCACTCGTCACCGGATCCTACTTCATCCCCAAGCCACACATAGAAGGCTTGGGCTTCCCGGCGACACGAAAAGCCGGGTCACATCTCTTTTACTCTTCCATCTCCCACCGGTCGCTGTCAGGTGGGTAAGAGATGGAACCGAGAGGCATGCCTCTCTTCCCAGCCTTTATGTGACGGCTGGCATCTTTCTCTTTCTCATGTCCTTTCCCTACCTCCCTTTGGTCGAGGGAAATGGGACATGAAGAGAAAGGTGGGACAGCAGTAAGAAATCCTTTAATAGCTGTCCTTAGGTCCCTTCCAGCCTCTCGCATATTGGCTGGTAAGAAGGGACAAGAATACCCGGCGAGACATGGAGCCGGGGAATAGGTTAGGAATGGAATGACGAGCCGTCTCTCACTTCATTCGTTCCTCCAATCCCAGCCAAGAAGAGAGTGAATTGGCTGGTGGGTTGGTCTCTCCTTCCTGTCGTTACCAACTGACCAAAGGGAAGTAAGACAGGGATATCATGTCCTGGCTCTCAAGGAATCTCTAACTACCAGGACACATCCAAGCCACACAAAGGCTTGGGAGAAGAGATAATGGGTCACTTGTCTTCTCTCGTCTTCCTACGTCTACTCGTTAACCAAGTGAATGAAATGAACGAGGATTGAGGGCCCCCACTATGGGCTTTTCAGCACTTGCAGGATGCTGAGGAGCGGGAACGGAAGCCCAGATACATGCGCTTCTTCGAGAACAAGGCGCTGAGGGGTTGTCTATATGACCACCCCTTTGTGGACGGCCCAAAAGTTGAATCTTGTTCTGGCCAGTCAATGCAGCAGAACAGGAGTCGGGAAGGGTACGTAGTGTTGACTCCGGATTGTTCAACCTGGCGCATAGTCAACCAGGAGTTTACTCATGCTCAGAAACAATTACGGAGCCAATTTCTTGTGAGTTACCCCCGCGTGGGCCTGCAAAACGAGAGGGATCTTAGGGCTATTGAGGTCTGACACCTGATTGAGCCGCTGTCTCTGAACAGTTGCTTCACGGTTTAAGGTGAAATCCGTCCAGCGAAAAATGGGGCTGTGTCTTTGAGGATTCACTGTTGGGTTGCAAGGGAAACCAACAGTTGAAACTACTATGTTGAGGCTTGTCCGATCAGCTTTAAGCGAGCGAGCCTTCGGTAGTTTTAGGGCGGGACCCTCCAAAGTGATTGGTTTCCTTTTGGTGTCCCTTTAGAGCAACCCCAAAGAGGGCACCCATATTTGATTTTCCCATGTTTCAGTCTTCCCACCCGCAAAAGGAAAACCAGACCCCTGGCATTCAAGAGGTCGTCCCCCTCCCCCTCGATCTTCAAGGGGTCAGGATTTGCTCACTTCAACTATAAGACCTGATGGATTGGTGGTTTGTTTCATAGAGGATAGTCCCAGAAGCCCAGTGGCGCACTATCCTTTTTGGTTGAGAAGGGGGTTCGTTTTACGGTCATCCAACACAGAAAGGGTGCCCATTCTGTTCCCATGTCAAGTCGCCTTCCGAGTTGGGGCCTGGCTTCTCCTTCCAGCAGGTGGCGGAGGAGGAACGGCAGGTGCTCGCCGCGCGGACGCAAGATGCCGGAGCTTGAAATTCCCACCGCCCCGTTTCTGCTTGGGGGGTAGTGACCTGGACCAGGTTGCGGAAGGTTTGCGGAAGCAAACAATGAAACACATGTGCTGCGGAAGTTCGCGGAAGGGACCTCTTGGCCCGCGGCAAGGATGCGGAAGGGTCCGCGAGAGCTTGAATAATGTCCAACCAAGTTTGTAGGGAGTAAAACTCAATACTCTAGTGGTTGGGGGGTGGAAGCCATGTAAAAAGTAGCCCTCGCCTTCAAAACAAGGCGCCATCCGCCGGATTGAATCCCTCACCCGAGGACGGCTGCTACGAGGGCGAGGTGGTGCGCCGGGCGAAGACCTACGCCGCTCGACGAGCGGGTCTATAGCAACCTTTAAAGTTTACTGGGATCCTTTCAACCCAACACTGGATCTATTGAACACTCATTTTGAGGGGGTATGCACAAATTATGGATTTGGTTGTTTCTCTTACCGTTCGGACAGTCGTCTTGAGCGTGTCACTTTCCAGGACCCAGCTCGAGCTGTTTCGCGTCGTTTGGAAGACCCTGGGCTCGTACCACCCCCGCCCCAAGCCCCAAAGATGAAGGGCTGGAAATGAAGAGCCTTCCGGCATGAGGCCAAACTTGCAGCCTTGATAATTGTGAGGATCTTTGTGCGGGGGGGGGGTTGTTGGTAGGTCTCCTGACTCAGTTGGGCACCCCGGGTCTGCCTTTGTACTGTTTGTGTTTTGCTGGAAGGCAGAAGATGGCCCCTTCACGGCAGGACAACCAGGGCGCTCATGGTTTGCGACAGAATCTTCGCACCACTTTCGGGATGTTGAAGGCATTTGGCTCCGGGGGTTGCATTGTGTCCTCTTCGCTTTCTTGGTTTCCTGCCAGCTTCTTAGAAGGGAAATACACAGAAGCCACAACTTGTGGACCCATGTCGAGGCACTTTGCCCTGTTCAGACACGGATTCAAGGGCTGCCAAAAGGTGCATCTATTCTGGCCGTGGACCCCTTACCACTAAAAGCTTGTCAACCAACCAAAAAGCGCTGCACCCTAAGAAGTATGGGACCTAAAAAACGGCCTTTTTGGAGATCCAAGTCCTTCCATAGGAGGGCCCCCGCTGATGCGTAGTGCAACTGTTTTCCAATGAACCAACCACAATTGTCAACCAACCAACCAAAATCCAGCCACCCAGTCAAGCGAGCAAGCCAGCAAGCAAACAGACAAACAAACAATCAATCAATCAATCAATCAATCAACCAACCAACCAACCAATCAACAAATTTGTCAACCAAGCAACCCACTGAGCCAAGTGATTCCAATTCTCGTTCCGAGCCAACGGCCGGCGAGTTCCTTAGGCCTGGATCCGGCCGCTGGATGCCGCCGCCATGCCCGAGGAGGTCCGCGAGAAGCTGCAGGAGATGTGCGATGGGCCCCCCGAGTCCGCGTGCTGTGGGTTTTTTCGGCGCTTTCCTTCGGGCTTGTCTTGTTGTGCAAGGCTGCGGCTGTTTCTCCTTTTTTGTTTTTCCTCGTTTGTTTGTTCCTCGTTTTTTGTTTTTTGAAGATACGAAAAAGTGGGTTTGGCTGTTTTTGTTCTTTGTTGGCAAGGGATACATACCCTCAACAAGACGAGGGGTGTGTCTCAAAGGCGAACCCTAACAAGCATGGTTGGTTTCCGGTGGTCTTCCTCCAAACCTCCTGCAAAAAGACAAGTGTGTCTCAAAATAGTGGTCCCCTATGGTTGGTTTCCTGCTGGTTTCCCTGAAAGCCCTAAACACTAAGCAACACCGGTGCGTCCTTTTTGAGGGAATCCCTCATGTGGTTGGTTTTGAAGGAAAGCCATGTTTTTGGGCCCCTTGTTTTGGGGCAAGTCCATTTACCCAATATTCAGCTTATGGAATCATGCCCCAAACGTGTCTGCTTAAGAAACCCGCAACCTGGATCTTCGCCTTGCCTGGAACCCCAGTTAATGGACGGATTCCTTTGTTCTGCACTTGTATGGCTTTTTCATGGAAGCATCAGCAGGGACCCTCCATTGGAGGCAAGGAATCTCCATTGGAAGCATCTTAGAACCCTTCAAACAGCCCGTTTTGAGGTCCCATGATTCTGAGGGTAAGCACACAATTCACCTGGAGTCTACTCCAGAGAAAGGTTGTTCTTGTTTTTGCACCAATCCAATTCGATCGGAAGTCTTCCGCAATTGCTCGTTTGCGGCTCGAGGTTTCGGAAGAAGGCGGAAGACGGGGGCAGGAAGCCTTTCTGCGGAGGCCACGGTGAAACTCATTGCGACAGGGTGGGCCGGTTTGCCCCTTCCAGGCTGCCTTGTGTCATAGGAACTTCAAAAATACGTTTGGGGTTTGGACCATTCCAAACGAAGCTGTCTAGACACTTACTGGCAATCCGCTTAGTTAGGAAGTGAGGTAGCCATCCACCCCTTGCCCCGCGTTTCCCAAAAGAAGACCCTGACCAGGCCTTGTGAAGGCCCAACTCGGGGGAAGCAAGGTGGGGAAGGAGTTGAATCTTATGATCATGGCAGGCGTATCATGGCAGGCGTATCATTTTTTCAGGATGGCCTGCGGAAACGTGTTTGGTTGCCTGCACCAAAGGAAAGGTATGCCTAGAAGCATGACACTCTTTACCCGCAGCACGGATTCTGCAACAAGGTCATTTTTGGGCGAACGGTCTTCCCAGTTGAGTAGTTGCGAGCTTACGATTTTAGGCAACTGCTCAGGCCACCAAAGCGACAAACCACCCAAAGACCCCTCCAAAGAGCTCATAAACCTCATGCAGAACGAGGCCAACGGTTGGGATGTTTTTGGATGGGTCGCTGGGTCACCTCCAGACAAGTTCGGCCAACATATCCAGAAATGATGGTGTATTTGGAGGGACATGGACATGGCTGACTCACCAAGGTTCCCACAACATTTGGGGAACTGCTATGTGCTTCTTTGTTTCTCTTGGGGAAGTCATAATTGCGGCCTCACACGGAAGGCTTGGGGCGGAATCTGTTGAAGGCGCATCGTTCTCGCCTTCAAAGGGGAAACCAGAAGGAGGGTATTTGAACAACGGATCGGCAGCGCCCTGTTGGTCAACGTCAGAGATTCTGCCAACCACCCCATCCGTTGATGCCCCTCTTGTTGTCCCCTATTAAGGCTTATTAACCCCTACGTAATTAACTCATTGGGTTTCCAGGGTCGTTGCAGGGGTGCTCATATACGGCAACGGGGTTGGTCCCCCTCGTAACCGTCTATATACTTGCTAAGTTGGTTGACCACGCAACGAGTCTCCCTGAAGGCATCGCTGCATGTTGAACCGGCCTTCCCAGGCATCGAGGAGAATGTAGTGCAGCTTGGTATGGGACAGCATCGGGGTTGGGTCAACGGGATAAACGACAGGGTATAGATTTCTATGTGGGATCTCCGGGTCAACAGTTGTAAACATCTGAGGCTTGTTTACCTTGACTAAACTGATAAAAGAACAGATTGAAATGCTAGGAGGGCTGAACGTTGTCCAAAGTAAGGCACCGTCATGGACCCACAGATCTCCAGTGTGCAATGTTGCTTTGGGGGGGAGGCAAACCCTGTAAAAGGACCTACCCAACAATTGTGCCCTTTTTGTTCGCCTTTGTAAGGCCCGAGTCGTGATGGCTGGTCTTTGGTGGATTTAGAACTAGCCCTATGTTTGGGATGCTTGGGTGTGTCGTGTTTTTGGGGACCCCGTTTTGCCGTTGCGATTTTGAGAGTCCGAGTCCTGTGTTCGACAGCCCCGGCCAGCCATTTTGTAAAAGGTTGGATCCTTCCCCACGGGGTGGGGAAGACTTGCTCAGGCTGCCAGGCTGGATCCGTACCTTTTGCGCTTGCCTTAAAGATCCTTCTCAGGAAATGAGCCCAAATCCAAGAACAACGGCTGGTTTCGGGAGCGATTGAATACAATTCAGGAACCAACCCTTCCAAGGGCGCTTGAAGGGCCTGGCCCAAAGCCTGCAAAACCCGATTCCCGATTCGAGGTATGTGGCCAACCCGGATCTCTCCACCAAGGGAACAATCCTGAGCGTGGGGATGAAGGCGCGATTTCTCGATGCCCAAACCGAGTGACTGGCCCATGGGCTTACAGGTGCCAAAGCCATAGCAACCAATTCAGCAAGTGGGTCATAGCCATGGTGCTAATTTGGGTAAATGGGATTCGTCCCCTCAGAACCATGGTTTTATCCTACTTAAGCAGCTTCAAGACCCAAGCACACACAGGGGTCTCAAAAGAATCGAGTTTCAGGGCGCAAATTCCATCAGGACCCTCAGGGTGATAGGTTCTACCATGCTACAGGTGATTGGCCGAGTGTTTGGTCGCTGTCCAAAAAGGGGCAACAGCGTTCACCAAGTTTGGGTTGTCGAACGTCGCTTTTGGGTCATTTGGCACCCGAATGCAGGTGTCATGTGGTGCCTTTCAAAGGGGGCCGTCCTGACTCCAAGCATGAGCTCGGAGTCCAATGGGAAGTGACTAGTGTCACAGACCATTTCCAGAGCTGGTTTGGGGCAGGTTGGAGTGAGACAAAGCACCTTGGCCGCCTAGATCCTTTTGTTGGAGGGGCATGCCATTTGAAGTGAGCCACCGAAACAGGCAAGCCCTCCTTTTCTCTTGAAATCCACTGGAGGTCTGGGACCAGTTTGCGTCGGCAGGTGAGCTTCAAACTCTACGTGGACAACAAAGGGGTGGGGGGCTACGACGTGTTGCCGTCCCAGGAACACATCGCCACTTGGCTACCCTGAGAACCTGGACTTTACATGGCCAAATTATAACGACGTCACTAGGAGGGCCGGTTGCCAAGTCACCCATGCAGGTGGCTTGCACAGACAGGGATCCCTTATTTTGGGTTGGTGCATCTTGTGTGATTGCCTAGAATGTTTGGGTTTCGAACATTTTAGTAAACAACAAGTCTAGACTAGACTGGTGGTTGGTCAATTCAGCGGCCCAAGCAGCGCGCGCATAGCTTTTGCGTTGGCTCAGCACCTTGGTTTGAGCAAGCCGTTCTCCGCTCAAGATAGCTCTGCGGTAGTTGGCACAGTTTTTTTGAATTAGACGGACCCACTAGGAAACGTCTTGGAAGTTCCTTTCTGGGCCTTTTTGAAGGTTAATAGATTCTACACTAATTGTGGCCCAGTTGTGCAGTGGCACACTTGTTCCAATTTTGTTTGGGTGGTCTCCGCACCGAAAAGAGGGTCAAATGGCCTATTTGTACCAACCGAGTTACTGGTTACAGCTGAGTTTTTTCAATTGAAATAATTAGGCGGTTCCTTTGTAGGGGGTTTTCTACCGATTGTGGCCGTCCCTGCTTATCTTCACTCGACCAAAATCACAACCTGGTGAGTTAAGTGAAGGTTAGGAGTCATCCGAAGTTGAATAGGTGCAGCCGCCCTTTAATTCTGTAAATTTACATAGTTTTGGGCAGACCATTATTCGAATACCACCCTGAGCATGATTGGACCCTCCATTGGAGGAGGCAAGGGATCTCTATTGGAAGAATTTGGACCTCAACGCATTTTGAGGTTTCAAGATTCTTGTCCAGTGGATTCCATTATCCTTTCAGTTGTTACAGGGTGGTTTTCTTGGTTGCCTACTTGGACCCCCACTGGACTGATTTTTTTCTCCCGCCTTGGTGTAGGTCCCAAGATTAGGGCTGCAAAGTAACTCAGAACCCAAAAATCACCAAAAGAAGATTCCTCTACCTGGAGTCTTGTTCTGACCCTACAATGATGGCACCCATTTCTTTTGTGTAAACCTATGTTTGATTCGGATCAGAAGGAGATTCCAGGAAATAGATGGGATCAGGAGAAGATGCTCTTGGCCATCCGTGCCAACTTCGAGACGGAGGAGTCAAGAAATTCGATGGGAGGGGTGCATGGCTCGCCCTTTTTTAACGGGAAACCTTTTTTTTTCCGGGAAACAGAATGATACCTGGCCTTTTTTCTACTCTTCCCAAGTCGGGGGTCGTACCCAAGCCCCGGGCTTTGCGTTGAAGGTTCGGTACCCGTTTCAGATTGGTTTAAAGGGAAACCACAAGGAGAACCGAAGTCCATGGGCACGCCCTCGTTCTGACGAGCCATACCCACAGCTGTTGCAATCAACCCCTGACCCCCTTGGAAGAAGAAATCCAGAATGTCTAGGCTTTTTGAGGTCAATTTGTATAGTGGCAAACAACATGTTTCGGACTTTGTTTGGCCAATCCACTCAAGTGAGAAGGCAAGGAGCTGGTTTTCTTGGTTGACTTCCCTTGGCGGGTAACGTCGAGTTTCTGGGCCAAAGAACCCCATTCTTTCTGCCCAAAGGACCCAGCGGGGTGTCAGGTTTTTCAAGTAAGTAAGTTTGCAAGTCACTTAGCAACCACACGGCAAGGAACTTGCAAGAGGCTTCCGAAGCTCCCCAAGGAACTCCAAGGAACTCCAAGGAACTCCAAGACCCTACGCTACGAAACTTGTCGAAACCCTCAGGCCCCCGTCGCACCGGGGACCCACCCGCCTTGGGACTCTGACTCACTGACCTTTGCAAGAAGGGTTGCAAGCCATTTAGTGACCCCTTTTGAAATGTTCACCATGGTTTAGGACCCAGAGGACAACCACCATTTTTGGGGTCCCCCTGTTTGACACATACCCAAATAGATGCGAACTTGATCAGGGGGACCCCGGGCACCATTTAGGTGAGCGTTTGAGTTTGTGTCCACCAAACACTTCCGAGGTGGTTCCCTTCCTATTAAAGTTCATAGCGACATGGTTTTTCGTTGACCGCTGAATTCCAGGGCCATTCACCAATGAGAGGGAAGCTGAACATTTGCCAGGCTACTCTGTTCGAATGTTTTGATGGAAACCCAGGAAGAAAACCACCATTTGTTGGGTATTTGACACTGCATACTACCCCATTCTACGCCGCCGATGAGAGGCACCTTCTAAAATTAAATGGGAAGCCACCCGGAACACTTCCAAACCACCAATCCAAACCACCAATCCAAACCATTTGGAAGCGGAATATCTGCCAGGAGGGCAAGAGGAAGTCTTTGAAGCTGAAGGACGTCTTCGGGGAACCCCCCAACTTCAAGGACGTGCTCTTCGTGGGCGAGTGTCCCGCGCTGAGATCGACGCACTGAGTTCCGGGACCGCCCCCGGAATGGACCCCTGTAGTTTTCCCACCTTAAGGGAAAACCAGATGAACATGGCGCCTTATTTTTTTGGGGTAGTGGATGTGAACGGAACCTAGTCCCAAACATCCTGGAAGACCAAAGGACGCAAAAGGACCTGTTCTTCTTTTGCAGTCCCGCGTTTTTTTTAGTGGGAGAAGCAATGCAAAGGGGCACCTTTGTATTTTTTCAGGTAAATTGAATTGAAAAGGGGACCCACCTCCCAAAACTCCTGAAGCCCATGTGCGAGATCCCAGTTTCTTACACCTGGACTTTAGAAAGGACGCCCTGGTATAGCACCCAATTGGGTGCTATTTGGTAAGTTTGAATTGTCCAACAAATCGAACACCCGGCCAAAGGACACAACAAAAAGAGCGCCAAGGCAGCAAACGGGTGCGTCGTGGGTCCAGACTTCCGTCCTTGTTACTCTGCAGAGCCAGTTGATTGTAAACGCTTGCCGCTGCCCGCCGCGGCCAGGGGCTATTTGATTTAGAGGCTTTCTTTGATCTCCGTTCTTTCCAGGGCCAGGCGTCGGGGAGTTGGGCAGCTGGCAGTTTGGCCATGCGTGAAAGTATCAGCTGCGTGAAAGTGTCTGCTTGGCAGTGAAGGACAGCCACAGCTGTAGTCCAAGGGCAAGTGGGCTGTTTCCAGGGCCAGAAGCAACGGGCTGAAGCCGAAACTTGGCGGCCTGTGGCTAAGAGTGAGAGCGGGTGTCCAAGGCCACTCAATCCAGGGGCCTGCGTCAGGCTGTGGGAAGATCCCGATGATCTAAAGACTGACCACTTTCCGGCCCGGAAGGGCCGAAGGGCCGAGGCGAATAAGAGGCCTCAGCTCCAACTTTCAATCACTAATCGCAAGGGAGGGGGGTTAAAGTATTTTTCGCGCTTTTGTTTCACCCTTCTTAGGCCCCTCACGCGGTCCGCAAACTGGTTGGTTTGATCCTGGTCTGAATCTCCAGGCACGCACGCCTTTTCGCTGGCGGCAGGCCAGAAGCGCTTGTACTTGGGTTGATTGTGTGGTTATGGACCCTGTAGTAGGAATGTAAGGCCATCCAAACAAGCTCTTTGCGACAAAAGGGGTTCTGGAGTGGTGCCGATTCACGCCTGGAACAACCGTTTCTCCACCCTGGCCCTGGTCCGAATTTTTCTTGATTTTCATCCTTGTGACTGCGCGGCAAGCGCACTTCTTGCGGCATAACTCTTTTCGTGATGGGATTTGTAGATTGGGCTCCCGGAAGCAGACAGGGACACAGATCCACCCCTTTGTGGATTTGAGTTCCATTCGCTGAAAACTATTTTGGTTTGTGTGCGTGTGTGTTGATTGTGCCCGCTCAGGTTTCCTTGAGCCGGAAACAACAGGGAACCACCTTGGTAAGTTCCCCGCATCTTGGGATACGCCGGTGTGGTTTTCAGTGTTGTATTGGGTTCCCTGTAACCTTTCGATGCGCCCCTTTGCCTTTGTAACCCCTGTGGGTGGAGGCTTGGGCAAGCTGACTTGTGGGAATGGCCGCTGGGCTGATACATCTGGTGTTTGGAGTAAAAGAGTAGTTGCTTGTGTATTCAGCCAACTTAGTTAGCAGGTGATAACCATGGTTGTAAGGAGGCTATTCCCAGTTACCCCAGTTTGAACCATTGCTATAACCTGCTTATTAATCAATTTGCAGTTTGTTTGAACATCCAAGTACAGTAAGCATCGCCATGGGCAAACATGATCCAGTTTCGGCAGTGTGGCAGGGTCGTGTTCCAAAGCTAGGCGCTTGGTCCCAGGTTGTATTGCTCCAAACAACACCCCCCAAACATTCGCCCCCTCCCGTCAAGGCCTTAGTACAGCTTACCTGAAACGTTTCTGGAAAGGTGTTTGTGGGTTGGTCAATAGGGTCCCTGGATAGGTGTTTCTACTACTGGCCATTGCCAGACCTAGCTCGTCTTTTGCACGTTTTTCCTTTTGGTTTTTCTTCCTTTTCCCTGTCAGGGAAAAGTTTGTTTTTCAGGTCCTAGTCTGGCCCCGTGGCCAGTTCATTGGACCGGTGCACAGGCCGGCTTCTGGGCGTGATGCCCTTCGCCGGCGCAGCTGGGCAAGAAGCCGACTTGGTAAGCGCCTTGCGTCTCCATGACCCCTTTCTTCTGGGTAATGATATTTGTATTTTATGCTTGAAGGGTCACCATGGTAAGAGGACCTGCTAGGTTGGTTGAACATCCTCCTTCAAGCAACTAAGTAAACTGCCAAAACACGTGGTTCGGGCCGGGAAGGTCCTGGCAATCGAGCGCATCGATGGGGGGTGAAGCGAGCGATTGTGTCCACGATGACGGTTACTTCCTTCAGTTCCGCGAGGTCAAGAGTGGACATGGACCAATCACACGGTATCAAATTGATCAAGCCTTTTCTCCCCCAATAAACACAAACACCAACAACGAAATATTAGATTCTTGTTCAGAGGATGTTGTTTTTTTCTTTTTTTTTGGGGAGGAGCTCCCTCTGACTGGGTGAACGGGCGAACGAGGCTGCGGAACACCCGTACCAGCTGCCTTGCGCCTGGTGCTCCACAGAGCTTCAGTGGCCCAGCGACTCGGCTTCTGCGCTCTTCAGCGCCGTTGGTTTCAACGTTGCACAAAAAGGAACCCGCGTTGTGGAGGGGGGTGGGTTGCAAGTTGCAGGGAAGCCAAAAGGGCAACCACCTTTTAGTTTTCCGGGAAGGTTTGAATAGTCCTTTTGCTTACTGGTTCTCGGTCTGGAATCATTTCAGAGGTCTTGAGTGGGGCATAGAGGTGATACCCTCATGCTCAGACTTGCTCCTTTCTTCTTTGGTCAGAGCTTGACCTCGCGTTGATTCCACCTATCTCGACATGGGGGAACACCAAAATGGTGGGTCTCATTTGGGTTTCCCTGAAAAGCCTGAACCGAAGGCGGTTTCCCCGAACAAGCCCCCAAGTGTTGTCTTGGGGGGGGGGGTACCAGTCATCCGATCACATAAGGGTGTGGCGCAAAATAGGGACCCTGCAAAATATTGTGGGTTAGGAAGACATGTGCGGTTCGTGGCTCTTTTTGGTAAAAGGGGATCAGAACTTGCTTGCCATTCGGGTGACCCAAACAAGCTGCCAGCCTTCCTGGACCCCCCAAAGGACCTGTTTTTCAGCCTTTGTAACAGCAACATGTGGGTCCAAGCCAAAACAAGACGGGTCCTCTGAGAGTTGTTCGGTTTTGCCAGATGAAATCGTTTGCCAACTCTCGGGCGACTGACCTCGTATGTGTGTGTCTGTATGTATGTATTGATGTATGTCTGTATGTCTGTATGTCTGTAGGTCCGTACGTGTGTATGTCTGTATGTCTGTGTGTACGTGCATGTGTGTGTGTGTGTGTGTGTGTGTGTGTGTGTGTGTGTGTGTGTGTGTGTGTGTGTGTGTGTCTGCGTGTGTGTATATATATACGTGTGTATGAGGAAAAAGATAAAACAAACCACCAAAACAGTGTCCATACTTTTCTGGGTGCGGTCCCTTGACAATGATCTTCCCGAAGATGGAATAAGGGCGCTCGAATTCCGTGCGGGTGATGCAACTCTTGTCACGGTCCGACTGAAAAAGCTCAGCTTTCGCAAAGGCGATAGTTTAGGGGATCCTTAGCCGCCCTGTGCTGTCTGATCATCCTGTTGGGGATTATGCTTGGTCCTATTTGTTGTTTGTTGATTCTGTTCATTCGTGGGGCCCCAGAGGCTGCAATCTTAGGTCTGCGATTCTTGGTGGAAAACGGAGTTCATACAGCCGCTCTTGGCACACGCCTTAGTCCCACATAGGCATTTGAACCCGCCTGATGGAACCTCAATGGGTGTTTTCCCTTTCTGTTTGAAAGAAGCCTAGGTCCTCCAATTGGCACACGATTCCATAGAACGTGCACTGGAAATGTGGGGAGGCCTCCAATTTATTTCTGCCTTTGACCACTAAAAAGGCAGGAGACTTAGCTGTAGCGACCCAGCTTATGACTTACTCAGGGAACTTACCAACCATGACAAGTTTATGATTCTTTTTAAAGCCATGGCTACCAGTCACTTGGCCAAGTCCAAAAGGACCATGTAGGGCCATCCAGCAACCAGGAACTCTCGAGAAGAAGCTTGAGCTCGACCTGGTCGACAACATCAAGCTCCTTCGCTTCCCAGCAGAAAAACGATCGGATGAACGACGCAGGTTTGTCCCGAGTAGAGCCTTGGGAAGAAACACCCCCCTTCCGAATATATTCAGGGACCCAAGTAGAAAAGCCATCGTTGATTTTGGGAGAAACATTCACCAGGTTTGTTCATCCAAGGCGAGCTTGAGCTTGCCCGATTTCCTGCTTGGAAACCCAGCCACCATGCCCTTCTGGCCAAACCTCTTGAATCTTGAACAGCTTTGAAGATGGCATTGTCCCCTCCAAGAGGTGACTCAATTCGGAGGTTTCCTGCAGAGAATGCTTCCCTGGGCTCGATTACCCCTCTTCCTTTTGACCGGGTTCCTGAAAGTGGAAACCATTTGGAGGGAGTGTCGACCTTTATTAGCTGGGTGGTTCCCCTAGACCACAAAAATCATCTGCTTTTTGCTCTCTTGATTCTGTTCATGCATGTGTAGGGACAGGCCGCAAAGAACATGCACTCGCCGGACATACCGGCAAGAGTTCGAAGCAAACCACTACATTTAGATTTGGTTGCCGTACTTGTGTCCCATACTACCCACAGCCCCCGTCCAGGTCATACGATTACCACTTGGCCAAAGATTGGCCCTCTTAGGTACTCAAGTAGCAGTGTGACTGTTGCAGAGCTGCGTTCTGTTCAGAGCGTGTCGCTGTGGTGCCACGCCCGCGGTTTTAAGGTTTCGAGCTTAGATTTAGGGCTTAAGTCTTGGATTAGGGATTAGGTTCAGGGTTTAGATCATTGGGTGCTAGGTTTCGGGTTCAGGGTTTGGGTTTAGGGTTTGGGTTTCGGGGTTGGGGGACCCATCCACGCCTCTGATCCGAGGCTCCAAGGGGGCGGCTCGGCGGCATGCTCCAAACCAATGGGGGCCTTGGGTAAGTTTGGGAAGAAGCCAAGGAGAGACCCCTTATGTCCTTCTAACGCCCCCGTCCATGGCATGATCTTCTGGGTAGTTTAGGGTTCGTTTGGCGGATGAAAGCGGTGGGTGGTTTTGGTTTCTACTTTCAAACAACCCAAAGGAGTCCCCCAGTAGTCTGCCTTTTTACCGACTAGGCGAGCTCACTTGCGCCCATGAAGGTCCCTCAATGATTTCTCAACTGATGGAGATTGGTTCTTCTGGGACGGCCAGAGGGGCCAACCCAAGTGTCAGGGGGACGACCCGCAGCCAGTTTTCCCTAGTGATTTGGGTATGTTTGCAGTTTCCCCGTTTTACCGACCCTGGGGATTTGGGTATTTTTGCTTCTTCCCGGTTTTACCTCTGGCTGACACCTTTTTTAGAGGGTTTCCTGGTAGCCTTTCGAAGGCTTTCGAAGGCCACCTTAGGTCTGGTGCGCTGACGGCATCGACGGCCTCAAGCTGCAGCAGTCCTTGGAGAAGGCCAAGTGTCCCACCACACGCCACTCGGACGGCACGTGCCTTCGGCGCCGTGCACTCGGCGCGGCTTTGGGTTGGGCGGCAAAAACGCTTCCCGGCGCTTGCAGCAACATAGTAGGCCACCAGGAAAGAAGCTAGTACATAATCACGACACACAAAACATAACAGCAACAGAGAGAAAATAACGGCCACAAGAACCGGTACACGCCAGTTGTCGTGGTTACCGCGGAGTCTCCACCGGGTAATGTGTACCTCTCGGTTTTTTGTTGATGATGGTTTTCGCTGGTTACCTACTATAGTGCTAGCTGGAAGCACAGGGTTTGGTAGCGCTGGTCCTGACATGCTGAACGACTGAAGTGCTGGACCGTCTCAGTGGCTTTTTCTTGAGTTGTCTAAGATGTGGGTTCCCAACGGCACCAAGACCCAGGGATAATTGGCGTTGCCTTATTTCAGGAATCCCTCCATTTCCTCTTTTTGGACGTTCAAAAGTGGCAACTTCAATCGAAACCACCAGCCCCTGCATTTGGCTCAGTTGCCATATTCCCCCACGACCTGCTGGGGGTCGTGGGGTAGTGTCACTGACAGTTGGTGCAGCAAAACGGGTTGGTGTCCCTTTTCTGGCGCGCACAGTGCCACCTGAGACACGACCAAGGCTTCAACACCGTCTTTTGGATGATGCCTTACGTGCCTGACCGGCAATGGCGACCTCCTGCCAGCATCTCGATGCAGCAGGTCCTTCATGTAACCGGTGGGTATGACTCAAAATGGGGGAGAACCCCCCCAAAAAGAGAGGTATGGGTTCCTCTTGGTGTCCCTTGAAAGCCACCTCAAAAAGGGCATAGTGAGCACAAAATTGAAACACGGGCTTGACTTTTGCGGAGGTTTGTTCTTCAGGTATTGGCATCATGATGCACTACTACATCCAGGCCTACGTGGAGTCTGCTGCCGCCTTGTGCAAGGATGATGGGCAGGTTGAAGCTCGGCTGACAAGGGGCAGATTATGGCGAGGGGTAAAGCGATCGCCATGATGTCGCTCTTGAACTTAGGGATTCCTGATTTCTGGCCCGCGAATTATGCTCACTTCCTGAGTTCATGAACTTTAAACTTTTTGGGAAGAGCATTTTAGTGATAAAGTTTGGACTTTTTTGGGGCATCCACTCAGCCAGTGAGTATAGTAGCTTGCCCAGAGCCATGCTAACTCGGATCAGTGAACCTGGTGGATAGCGTGTCTCCCTCAGCGATCCGGATTCGTGCCTGACTTGGTCGCACTCCCCCGTTCATCAACCTGAACCAGGGATTATACCGAGCTGTTTCTGGGGTCAAATGAAAGAAGGCCCATGATGCACGGCCAGACTCATCTAACCTTCTTATCCTTTGGCCTTAGTTTTCCTTTGTCACTTTCAGCTAGCAAACAAGTCTTCACCTGCAGGGGGGTCGGATAGCTTTCCCGAAACCAACCCCAGTAGTTTGCCCAAACTTCCGGGTTCCCATGCCTTTGCTACGTGCGGATTGTCGATGGCATCCGCGAAGAACTTGACATTGGCAAAACGTTTGCCCCATCCTCACTCTGCGAAATCCGGCAATTTAAACTTGTTGGGTCACCCCCAACTCCTGTTCAGGCGGTCAAAAAGCTTAAAGTTTCATACTACCCCTGGGTTTTTTGAGGAGACAGTATCACGGAAGTGGTTGCAGGAAATTGACATAGTTGTATGACGACACGTAAACAGGACTTGATTTCATCCAATGGGGCAGCCTTTTTCAATCCTCCGGTGGCGTCCTTTGCTTCCTTTGTTGTTATGCGGGTTTCTCCTCAACCCAAAAGGGAAAGCGGTCCTTTTTCCCGGCGCGGATTCATCTGGATTTAGCTGGTTTCGGGTCATTGGACCACAGGCTACAGGAAGTTGGCCAGAGTCAATTCTGGTATGCTGGTTGCACGTTGCGTTTATTAAGACAAAAGATTAGCACCCACCAACGGTATAAATTTGCAGGTAGTGCCTTCAAATTGTCTATTGACCCTGAAACCCAACCAGTTACCCAGTGGGTTGCTGCCTTTGCTCCTTTTTTGGCCAACAAAAGGACTCTTGCCCACTGGGCGGTTGAGCTGTTTGAAGAAGTCGATCAGAGAAGCTGTATATTGGCCGGCCCTCCATGTGAGACAGGCAAGAGAAGTTTGGCTTTGTTTGGTTAGGGTCCTTGAGGATCTGGACAGCTTCATGATATAATTATGTTGTTTGATTTCCTTGTCAAGACGCACCCATATAAACCTAGAAAGCAAAGCCGTTGCTCGTTGCTTTGACCTTGAACCTTTGTTTGTCTTGAGCACTTGCAATTTCCTTTCCACCACTGTAAGTAACAATCCGAATCCACAAAGAGGTGTTTGTACGGCCTCAATCTGCAGTTTGGTAGAATCTCCCGCTTAGGCCTCTTCCTTTGTGGATTCGCATGGTGGGGTGCAGCTAGGGCGGGACTACCATGCCCCAGTTCGTCAGGGGCACCAGTTTTCCGTTTTGCTCGGAAGCTTTCCCAGCTAAGTTTGGTCGGCCCGGACATGGCATCCTTTTTCTTCCAGGGTCACTGAAGCCACTGTCCAGCCCGAGTAAATGCAGGATGACAGCCCCGCATGACAGAGATGCAAATAGCGGATCCTTGCCCTTCTGATTCTTTACCATGGGTTTGGGGTAGACCCTCTTACTCACTTCCCCATCTTCTCGACTGTGTACTGTTTGGGCAGACCGTTTAAGGTTTGTTTTGGCCAAGCCACTCAATAAAATTGCTTCCCGGAAGACTAGCATGACACCCAAATAGATGGTGTGGATCCCAAAAGCAGATTCCTTTACACACGGTGTTTGGTTGGGTTCCATACCACCCGAAGAAAGGCCTCTACAATGAGTGTGTTTGTTTGACTCCATTTGGTTCGTCTTAGTTTGCAGGGTATGACTCACTTCACTCGGCTGCAGGTGGTGGTGGTTACTTCGGCCCAGTGCCTAAGTTGGAACCTCTACAACTGCAATCCCTCCTTCGCCGGCCGCGAGCTGATTCCAGAGGTCTGGTGGTTCGACACCCGACAGCGGTGAATGTGCAGCCAGAAAATGGGCCTTCCAATTGAAGTCTGGACGCTACACTTTTTTGGAAAGCCATTTCAGCGGCAAACAAACAGTTTGGACTTTGTGTTGGCCAACCCACTCGAAAAGTGACACAACGGTTTGGATCAGGGAGGTGTTTGTTCCCCCCAGGCCGCTAGAGTTCTAGCCTTAACAAGATTTAACTCTATGAGCAACGCACAACATGGCCCCGTACCGGTTTATCGTGGTAGTATTGTTGGATTCATTCAATTACTCGTATACTGTATACACACCTATTAGAGGCTAGACCAGACAGCTGTTTGGGTGAGGGGGTGTTTGAGTCATAATTGTGTAAGCCACCAAAGGGTCCCAAGATGGATTCTGACGTTTGATTTTTGGAATGCAGACTGTGAGCCCATCTTCACCTTGCAATTCGCGAGCCTGTCGGTGCTTGCGGGTGGGCTGGCGTATCCATCTACACATAATGGGGTGATGTGTCTTGGTCTTTTTCTGGTTGTTTCCCGTTAACCTGTGAAACCACTACCTCAAAGAGGACACCCTCTCGCTGCCCGCCCATGTTTGTTGGAAGGGTATGTTTGCTGTTTGGTTCCAAGGGTAGCTTCCCTATTCTTTTGAATCTTGGGACCTCAACCGGGCCTTGGTTGATGTCCAACACCTTCCGCTGGGAGAGACAGACCTCCACTGAAGGGTCCAATAATGAGGAGAAAGCCCCAGAGCCCCTGCCTTCCCCCCGCAAAGCTGGCAGCCGAAGCAGGGACAACCGGGACTGCTGTTTCTGCAAGCCTAGGCGTTTTCCCAAAACCTACCGGTGGTTTTTTGAAATCCTGCCGGTAGGTTGTTCAAAACGTATTTATTTGCTTCACCCGAGTGGTTGCTCAGGATGTGTCGCCCTTCGAGCGGCACGGGTACCAGTCCCGCTTCGGCGATGGCCGCGACCGCTACGTGGATCAGCCCGTGTTTCACAGGCGAACGAAGACGAAGCGGGCAGCCTGGGCAAAGCTTCTTGAAACCGTCCAAGGTTGGTTAATTTAAATTTTAAGGAAATTCTCCACTGGACATATCCATTGTTTCTTTAAACGTACAAGTTTCTTTAAACTTTTGTTGGTTTCAAAAGAGCATATTTCACTACTGGACATGTCGTTGCTTTTTGGCCAGCACGAGGGGCTTTTACCTTGGATAAGTTTGCTGCGTGCGTGAGCTTTGTTTTGCTTGAATGGCGCAAGGCGGCAAATGCAGTGTTTGGAGGGAACCTACCATGTGTATATATTCAAGTATCGTCCCTTTGCGGTGATTTATTAACACAACTGCTTGGCCAATGTTGAGTCTGTTTCCCTTTGGTCGGATGTGACACGAAAGGGGAAATAGTTGGCACCTTGTACTGTGTGGGTTGAACACAACCGAGTATCCAAGCAGCTGATGGTTGTCAGGAGCCAACCACTGTTACCCCATTCATGCTTCACTCACTTGGGTTGAACATCTATCCAGACCCGGCGCCATTTTGTGAGACTTGTTCAAGAGGGGGTTCCTGCTAAAAATCAATTGCCCTACATAGGAATCTTGGGACCTCCAATGGAGGGTCGAATGCAATGATGCTTAAGTGCCAAAACAAGGTGTTGCCAGAATCAACAATCCTCTTGTTGATTCACAGGTGTGTGTGTGTGTGTGACATTTTGTTAGAATGGGAGCTCAGGATCAACCAAAAGCCACGGGAAATCCAGAGTCGTCGCTTGACCTCGCGTAGGCTATGTGACACCGTGGCGGTGTGCTGGAAGACGAAGCAGCGAGAAGCCGAAGAAGTTGAAGGGGTGACAGAGTCTTCGATCTGGAATGGGTATTGTTTCCCAGGGAATCATGGATCTGGAATAATGGAATCTCGTTTCTTAGGGAACAACTTTCTATCTTTGTGACAGGGTCTTGGGAGTAACGTGTTTTGGAGCTTCAAGCACAAGGAATCCACAAGGAAACCATGCATTTGTTGGGTCCAACGTTTTCCCTTCAAAGCAACCTTCAGAGACGTGTACCCTTAACCAACCCAAAAACCCATTTGAGCGTTTTGTTTTTTGGCCGCAAGCAAATTTAGTAGGAAGAGGGACATTGTTATTGAAAATGTGCACCGCGCCGCACGCGCGGAAGCATGCGGAAGGACACGCGGAAGGGATTTCTTCGCGGAAGGTTTGCGGAAGCTTCGTGGCTGATATGAAATTAAATGATTCAGTTTGCGAAAAAGCATGGAGAAACGATTACAGTAGAAGAAGAAAGGCGTTGCTGCGTACAAGAAACGCAACGCTTACTAGAAGAGCAGTTGCCAACCGCAAGCCAAGAACAGCCGGCGTATTTCGCGGAAGCTCCGCGGAAGGGTGGCCTGGCCCCGTGTTTGCAGGCAAGTGCCCATGCAAGGGAACCCAATGGAGCCCAAGCCTACACATGCGGCGAAACTTTAGTAATTCAAATGATTTTCCTTTCTGCGCCAATACTCGCGGAAGCAAATCTTGCAAACCATGCGCCGCGGAAGGTTTGCGGAGGCAAACAATGAAACACATGTGCCGCGGAAGTTTGCGGAAGGGCCTCTTGGCCCGCGGCAAGGATGCGGAAGGGTCTGCGGAAGCTTGAATAATGTCCAAGCAAGTTTGTAGGGAATACAAACCAACGCTCATTTGCTTTCAATATATTTATATATTATATATATATATATACATACTCGTATATATATATATATCATTTATCATGCATTTTGGCGCGTGGCTAATCTCTAAGAACATGTCTCACAGGCAGAACCCCAAAGTTCCCGTGTCTAGGGGGAAGCTTCCCAATTTTGCCGGGGTTGTCGGAACCCCAGACATGGTTTTCCTCCAAACTGCTCAGGGTCGAACGATTCGCACACCCAAAGCCGAACAAACCGGACGCGAAGGAAGATGAGATCGCGGCTCGCAAGAAGCTGCTGGAAGAGATCGGCAAAGATCCGACGGCGCGGGATTCGATTTGCCCTGGGTCCAAGTTTTGAGAGTTTGGGGGACGGGGGTTCAAAGTGAAAGGAAGGTGCGGCAACAGCATCCAGTGGAAAGCCTTTGAGTCAACGTTCTGCAACATAGGTTCAACGTTCAAGGTTAAGGGGTGGTTGATTGGTTGGGTTCTGTGGGTTGCCCTCCAAGGTTTGGTTGCAATTTGGCCAGACAAAATGCCCAGACCTTCGGTGCCATTTGCGAACATTTGTTCAAAGGGGAGCTGGTTTCTTTGAACAACGAGTCCTTCATGGCCGGTCTGGATGGATTGAACTCAGTTGGGTTCCATTTTGAAGATAAACTTGTACCAAGTGCCAACACCCCCCAGAACTGGATTTTGGACACTTGGGGGTGTGGACATGCGAAACAAAAGTCGTTGCGGGGTGGAGAAGGATGCCGTTTTCATTTGTGGCCAGTCTGGATTGCTGGTTGGAATTGGAGAATCAAAATCCCCCAGTTACTTTGAACATTCTGTGTCATGTGTGGCAAGCCCTTTAGATGGTTTGAGTGGCCATGCCAGAACTCGAGCAAGCAGTACATGACATTCCAAATCTAGAAGATGTGCCTAGGGCCTAGAAAACGGATCAGAAGTCGGAGTGGTCACTGAGCCTGAATTGGGCAAGTTGTCTGGGTCAGCGATCGGCTGCTTGACATTGGCCTCTTTTCAGGCTGCCTTTGGGCACGGGTGCCCAAGACTTGGCACGGAACAAGTTGGGATCCCCTAAAGTTGCCACTAGTCACCTGGGTTTGGTTGAAGTGGTTCGTTGAGGGGTCCTTGGAATCGGTCCAAGCCAAAGCCATTGGGAACATGTGGCTGGGCGCTTACTTGCAATATTGAGGGGGAATCAACGGTGGTCATTTTGGCCAGGCAAGTGAGACGGCTGAGCCTGGCTAGCACATTTGAGTGCTCCCAAACTCGAACACCTCAGAATGGACGGTTTCCTTTGTGTTCCCCTGTCCTACCATGCGAAATGGGTGTCTCACTTCCCGTGTTTCAGAAGCTTTCTGGACTTGAGCCATGCCCTCAATTGACGGACCAAGAACCATGTTTGCCTGAAGGAGCCAGATGAGGTGTCTGTTTCCAGCCCAGGGCTGTTGGACGGGAGCTCCCTGAAACTGGAAGCTCTGGCGATGTTTTCATCCGATGTTGGTTTTCGCAAAATGTTGACAATCAATTTGTGTTGGTTGGGCGGGCTGTGTTAGAATCGAAATGGTGAACCACTAAATAGGTGGCAACGGGAAACCTAAAGGAGACACCCAAGTGGACGCTGCGCTTTGATAGGAACCGAGAGACCTCCCTTCCAAGTGGCAGGCCAATCAATGGCCATCGTCCACTCGAGACTCATAGGTATCCGCCCAGCCTGCGAGGAAAAGAGAGTGGCATATCCCAATATCGCAAGTTTCTCAGGACTCGACACCCGGCCCCGGACATCCGTTCATGCTGTAAGAGGATGTTTCCGCAACGAAACCTGAGACTGAGGCCGAAGTGTTGCAAGCAGGGAACAAGGGGCACTTGGGTGATTCATCTCAAGAACCCATTAGTTTGCAGTTGGTTGTGGAGAGAACCAGGGAAACCCTTGCTATGCCATGGCCTCTCTCTGGAAGTTAAAAGGACAGGATCCGGTTTCCACCAGCAAGCAGTTGACTTGTGCATGGGGGTGGCCCACTAAAATCTTTGCTCCGAGGCGCAGACGAAACTGAGCTGCGAGGAAAAGCAAATCCTGCGGCGTGTGAATCCGGGGTTCCTAAAACCGCCTGAATCCTCCAATGAACCCTCCAGCAGGAATCCTGCTTGTAAAAATGGTCTTATCAGGCCCTTTTTGATGTGAGTTTCCTTGGCGATGTTCAAAGGGAAATGGGTCCTTGTAAACAGATGCTGAGGAAAAAAGGAACCAATACCCCCAGAAGCCAGGAAGGCACATTTGGTTCGAATAGTCGTGGGTTCATGTGAGCTGCAACCCGTGTTGTTGAGAAGCTATGCGAGGCAAGTGTTGCTAAACCGAGGTTCAGTTGCAAGTACCTGGAGTCCCGACCCTGAACAACTTGCTATGCCCACATTCAGGGGTCGTGATCACATTGGTTTCCCTGCTTAAACCATGAATGAAGTCCCGTGGTTCAGGGCACTCGATACGTGAGGAAAGCCATCCATGTGCCCCTCTGGCACCGTGCACACGACATGTACTGTGCTGTGTTGTGATGTGCTGTGTCGTGTTGCATGGCGTGGTGTGGTATGATGTGTTGCTTTGTTGTGTGTGTGTGTGTGTGATCTTTGTTGTCCTCTCTGTGCTTGTTGCTTCGTTTTGCTTGCTTGCTTGCTTGCTTGCTTGATTGATTAATTGATTGATTGGTTGGTTGGTTGGTTGGTTGGTTGGTTGGTTGGTGGATTTGATTGATTGATTTGATTTGAACTGATTTGATTTGAATTGAATTGATTTGATTGGTGAATTGGTTAATTGATTTGATTTGATTGATTGATTGATTGGTTGGTTGGTTGGTTGGTTGATTGATTGATTGATTGATTGATTGATTGATTGATTGATTGCCCGTTCGCTCGCTCGCTTGCTTGCTCGCTTGCTTGCTTGTTCGTTTGCTTGCTTGCTCACTGCTCACCTGCTTTCTCGCTCTCTCGTTTGTTTGTTTGAACGTTGGTTAGTTCTCTTGTGACTTTCGCACCACATGTAAGCGCACGGGGAGCCAACAAACCAACAATTCCAAATATCCGAAGAGTGAAACGGTTGATTTTTGTCATACCCCTATGTAGCACCTCAAGGCGTGTGTTCATTTTTCCACACCCCGACACAGAGCTATGTGACTGTGGGTCAAAAATAGGTACCTCAAATTGGAACCCTGGTAAATGGAAAGAAGGACTAAACCCTGCGGTCCCCTGGTGGTTTAATTTTGACCCATACCCATGTGACCGTTCTCGGGGCGGGACCCAGCGCAGGTGCAACAGGTCCAGCAGGTCCAGGTCCAGCAATGGCACAACCAGCTGGCCGAGTCGCCGCTTGGTCGAAGCTTGCGCCTGGCGGCAACACCTCAGCCACAACCCGTGTAATGAAGGTTGGTGTCGGTCCCAACCATAGATGCCCTGAAAAAAGATGATTTGGGGTCGTATGATTTTCAGGCTATGACTCACCTCGGAGATAAACCATCCCAACCCAAAATGCTGCATTTGACTGTTTGTTTGTTGAGGGTCTGGGGTTGTTTTAGGATAGTAAATGGACCATATAAGCCTATTTGGGGTGTTCCTGAGCACTGTCTCAAGCATTTCCTTCTTGCGCAGGCAGCGACTTTCGACGCAGGGCTACAGCTGGCCAAGGCGTGGCATGGCTAGCTTAGTGCCAGACCTTTGTTGCAACCATTTTGCAGGGTCTTTGGTTCCCATGTTGCTGGTTTTAAGCATCACCTTTTGCTGGTAAGTGAGTTTACCTAGGGGTGATGTTTATAGGGAGCCCCTTATTCCCCCCGCATCATCCCTGTGGAAGAGTTCGGACTGCGTTAGACGGGGTCGCCTCGAGGTTCCAAGATTCTTGGGTATTCAATCGACTCCCACAAAGGGGTTCCCTTTAAATTTAATCAGCCAGCAAAAAAGTGCATGTTTGTGCCATGGCCGGAGTTGCGGATCCCCTTTGACAATTCGATGCAAGGGTGCGCAACGTGATTGGACGAGAGCACACAGATGAATGCCAATCATGGCAGACATTATTTTATAGAGCCATCCTGCTTTTCATCACTGCACGTGCAGGTGTGCAAGACACATTAACATATCAACGTGCATCCTCAGTACGAAATTTAGCGGGGGCTCACATGATCTATGGTCAACACATACAAAACTCGGTCTCCGCATGCAAGAAACTTCCATAAGCGGAGCCTACAAACAAAATCTGGCATAGGGCTTCGACTTTAAATCCTTAAACCAGCCCAAACAGGATACATCCACACGGAGCCGTGGGGAGAACATCGGCACCCTGTTGCCATTATCTCACAAACGTCAAATTGCCATGCCCTTGGATGTTGGTTGCCACGTCACGGAAAGTTGGCTATCACAATGGTTATAACAGTCACCTGATAGCAGTGGTTGTAACCTACCTACTACCAAGACCCCCAGTGGCATTGTTTTTTTGTTTTTTGTTTTTACGCTTTGCTGTTGTATAGCACCCAGTCCAAACTCTGCACAGTGCTATGGCCCTGCTGTACGCGGGACCAATGGCGGATAGCTGCCCATGTTCCTTGCCAGTTTTGACAGGGGCTCCTATGAACGGGGTTGTGTCAAGTACGGTCTGCGTGTTGTTTTTTCGGCTGGCCCCGCTTGCATTCGTCTTCTGCCATCGTCGGTGTAAGGATGGCGGAAGCACAGCATGGTAGACACGGACTGCTGGCCTGTACCCGCAAGCCAGGGGGCAACCACCCATTTTAGAGGTCCCTCAATTTGAATCCAACGTCTCAAAATAGCACCCCGGAAGTGGGCAATGGTGGGATAGCGGCCATTTCCGCCAACCTGACTTATCTTGAAGGTTCCCAGCCAGACCTTAGATGCTTAGATGCCTAGATTTTCTGAGTTTGGAGGGCTTTGTGACATATCCCACTGAAAGTCTTACTTTTTGCCAGGTATCAACTGTCAACCCACCTAGTCACGGTATTCCTTGCACTTCTCCGGGCATGTTCGAATCGCAGGCCGACAACGGCCTGGTCTCCACAGATCAACGACCCGCCGGAGGCGGCAGGGGCTAAAGGCTCTCCTGGACCCCGCACCAAACTTTGTCGTCCTCCTTTGATCGAGGTTGCTGGCTCTCACTGGGGAGCCAAGAGGGATTCTGTGCATGAAGCTGTGGATCCCCTTAAAGTCCTACAGAAAACCACTTTTGGGATGTTCCTCGGGGTCATTCCCGAAAATTCCCTGCCTGTCGAACCATGTCACAAGATCCAAACTCTGCCTGAACCTTCCATAAGGAGCCATCTCCCGGGTTATTTTCAGTGGCGGTTCGGGCATGTAGAGAAAATGCGGGTTCTCAAAGGGGTGGTGTCCTTCTTGGTTTCCCCGAAAAATCCCAACGTCCGTTCGAACCTCGAAACCTGAAGGATGGTTCGCTGGATTCAAACTTGGACCAGACTCAACACATACTCTCCCCTACTCGCTCCCCGAGTTCATGAATATAAGCCTTTTGGAAAGACCATTTTACCGGTAAATTGAAAGAGTATTTTTTGCAAATCCACTCGGGAAGTGAGCCAATGAATAATTTCCACCCCTATTACAAGATACTCGTTTTAGGCAACCATCCAAAAAAGTCGCTTCGCACCCCTTTACTGGCGATTGACCCAATACTGAACCAATACTTAACTTCTGACAGCCCTTATTTGGAGGTACTTTCAGCACTTTCAAAATTAGTGTACACTTCAAATCTAGAAGTTGCATGTCTGCTTTTTCAGTGACCAGTGAGTGGTGGGTTTGTGTATGGAAAAAAGGGGAGATCCCGGGAGCCTATATCGCTTCTAAACCATGATGTTCATTTTTTGGGGAGGATTTAAGAATGGGGCGGAATATATTTTGTGTTCCACCTGACGGGCTGAGGCGGGACAAGGCCACAAGTTTTACGGCACAAGCATCGGAGAATCAACTCCGAGCCTCTGTGATTTAGTAAATCATTGCAACGGGGGCAAGGGATCATTGCAAGTTTGGTTCGGAATTTGCAGCCCGACTCAGCAACCACGGGTTGGCTCTTTTCCGATTGGATTTGGACCATGGTAGGCCAAGGTCTAGATAGAGTTTCGGCCAATCCCCTCAGAGCAGAATCAGCGAGGTTCCCATTTTCCCAATACGTGACATGGCCATGGGTCAAACTTAAGCCACCAGACCGCAGGTTTTAGTCTTTGGTTCCATTTACCAGGGCAAGCCATTTTGGGGTTACCAACTATTTTTGACAACCACAGCCACATGTTTCGCCGACGCGGACTCGCGGACGCGGACTCGACTCAGGTGATTCCCCCCAACGAGGTGGTGGCCGAGCGCCGGCGCCAGTTCGGCGACCGGCTCTTTCGCCTCTGGGTGGAGGACGCAGTCGAATGGGATCGAGCCAAGGGCTGGCAAGTGAGCCACTTGCTCAATACTCGGGGATCGATGAAGGTTAGGGACGCTCCCCTTGCCATAAATAGCTGCGGATATCCGCCTTAGTTCTTGAAGCATGGTTCTGGGTGCACCATTTTTGTACCTTTCGTTATGACTCAAGTCATCTTTTTGGTCAAAGACCCAGACCTCCAGTGATGCCTTGTTCGCTTGTTAGTTCTGTGACCTCAAAAAGAGGCAGTGTGCTGCGGATGAAAGCCTTCCAATGGAGATCCCTCGCCCCCTCCAATTGGCCAAATACCTGGGTTACCAACAACCCAGTGCCATTTGCTCCCCGTGAAAATCCACTCTAAGGAAAGATGGCCAATCCACGCTTGGGGGCTCGGGGGGGTAGTAGCTAACCATTGCAAACCACTTTTCTTTTTCAAATGTTTGCCTTTGTGACAGATTTCTTTAGTGCAGCCTTGTGAGGCCTCGGCTGCTTAGACGTGTGTCATGGAGGTGTACGTTTCCTGTTCTGTTGGTTTCTCTTGATATGGTTTGGTGTTTCACGACCAGATTGCCTTGTTCGATGGTTTCCTTGTGGTTTTGGTTTCCGTTTCCAGGATCATCGTTGTGGGATTTCAGGTGCTAGGCCAATGTTCCGCGATAGTTGGCATGTCAACCCTCCCATGCTTTGCTAAAACTGACCTGCAAGATGAAGGGGTATGCACTGACTTGCAACCCCAAGAATCATGGAACCTCGAAAAGGCGGTGGTCCAGACTCCCAACCCTGCAGATCCAAAGCCCTCCAATGGATGGTCCCTGCTGATGCCTCGGGAAGCTGACATTGGTCATCAGCATCCATGCCTCCAACACCCATGCCTGAAGATGTCCTTGAAGGTTGGCGATGAGTTGGAGACTTTCAGGAGAACTCTCAGCCAGAACGTCGCCTCTGTATTGGAATGTGTGTGTGTGTATTCTAACTGAACTATGGAGGCCTTTGGAATCTGGGGGAGATATGATGTTCGGGGCGCCTTTGCTAGTAGGGGGTTAAGTTAGACCATATCTTTGCACGAGGTTCCCTGGCTGACAGGACCCAGGTTTGCTGTCTTGCCTGTTTTACAGGGCTCTGACGACTGATTAAAACTCACGCGGAGCGCTTGTTTCCTTTTCTTGGGGTTTCCCTTTAAAATCGGGTGCCCATTCCTGTAGATGGCCACTGGGGGTCTTGGAAAACCCAAAGGTGGGACAATTGGTTGGCAGCGCCTTTGGAGCGGCCCAGTACTCCGAACATGGAACCCCAAAAGCTATCCATTTCTAGAGGTTTTGGGGGATCCTCTTAAGCAGACATGCGTTACTTTGCAGCCCGAATCATGGGACCTCAAAAAACCGGTTTTGAGGTCCAACTCCAATGGAGATCCAAAACCCCCTCAATGGAGGGTCCCTGCTGATGCTTCGTGCGTGCTTGCTACGAATCTGCACTCTGCCGCTCACCCGCCGCTCTCTCCAAGCTTAGGCCCTGATAGGGTCGTCTATTGAGACCTTTCAACCGCAAGTCGAGGTGTTCGAGGAACCCGGGTCCGCAAGTATCACATGTGCAACGAACATGCTATTGCCAGGGTATCGTTTTGGGGCCCTATCGCTTGTGGGTTGGCCTTTTTGAACAAGCCCCAAAGTATTGGTGTTTGCAAACATCGGGAAGCGGATAATTTCAAAAGGTCCCCCAACGAAACCTTCATACACGAATAGTTGCCGTAGTCACAGTCTACCTTCCCAGTTTATGGATCAAGCTTTTAGGATGAATGTTGCGGTAAACAGCAAGTCCGGACTCTGACCAAGGAAGTGAGTCCCAAAAAGCTTCGTCAGTCCTGACAAGGTTCTCCATACCCGATACGCCAGCAAGCCCTGACTCCCTCAAATCCCAAAGGCAACGGCCTTGACCGTCTCCAATCAGCCAAGACCTTCCATGGGAAGGGGTTGGACCTCAAAGGCGGAAACTTTTGAGGTTCCATGATTCAGGGTTGGAGCAGTTTCGGCTTCCCCGGTAGCATCCTTACCCTGTCTTCTCTGAGTCTTTTCTCTGCTGCGGTGTATCAAAGCAGGGTACAACCCACCTGGGTACCACCTCAAAAAAGCCACGGGTTCCCTTTGTTCCCCGGCTCGGGGTGTGCAACGGCCTTCCCTTTCCCGTCCTCCCGCGTTCGCTGCGTCGCATGGCGGATGCGGAGATCGGAGTCGAAATCGACGCGGAGTGTCGAGCTGGTAGCACTCACCCGCTGCGTCGCATGGCGGATGCGGAGATCGGAGTCGAAATCGACGCCGAGTGTCGAGCTGGTAGCAATCACCCGGGCCGTGCACCGAGCAGAGTGGAGCAGAGCGCTACTTCTCCTAGGCCGGCCGAGAGAAGTAACATAACTCACTCCCCGAGTTCGAGGACTTCATACTTTTAGGAAAGTCATTTTAGTGGTAAACTAAAATTAACATGTTTCTGCTCCGGAAGTGAGCCGGGGCCAGCATGACGGGTATGTGTTTTTAGCAGTATCCTGTTTGCTACTGCAGGACTGCACATACTCAAGGTCCCCTAGAGGATACACCAGCCAAGTAATAATCTTTGCCAGCTAATTTGGGGGGTTCCCTTGTAAAGCAGGTGGTTTTTGGATGTATATCATTGAGGAACCATGGTATTCCCCTCGTGCTGGGCGTGCGCAAGGACTTCCGTTGGGGCCGTATTTGACACACACCCCTATGAAAAAGCTGAATTGGAGCCGGACGCCTCCGGACCTCAACTTGGAGCTGGTCCAGCTTTTTTTCCCAAGAGCTAGACATCCTAAATGTTGCACACAATTCGAGGGTGTCCTTTTTCCTACAAGATTTATGTTTGTGCTCAAGTCACTTCTGCGGCCCTGTAGGGCTGCCCCTTTCTTTCCCATGCATCCATTCGGCTTGCCAGACTTCACTCACCTTTTTGCCCTTTTCGGTCTCCTTCATTTTCTCGTTCAACCGGCAAAACTGAGTGTGGCCATTCTCTTTGGTTCCTTGATACAAAAACTCACAGGGTCCCTGAAGAAAACCGAAGAACCTCTTTTGACTGTGTACCGCTTCTGTGCGGATCCTTAGGCAGAAACAAGAGGGTCCTTTCAGATTCGTTTCTGGGTCACGGTCGGATCCGTGCTAGTAGTCAGATCGTCAGGCCGCGCGAGGGATGCTACGCTGCAGCCGGACGCTGTGTGTTGGAGTGCTGGGGTCAGCTCGGCGCCTTGGTCCCGAGAGAAGGAGATGGTTCAAAGTTGTGGCCACCTTGGTTTTTAAGCTTTTGGAATCTTCTTTGGTTTCATTTCCCTTTTATCCGACACGCCGCAACATGTCGGCGGATATACAACTTGCTGGTGCTTAGTAGGGAATGACCGAGTCCGGGTGTTGGGAATGAACCATTTCGTGATCGTCTAGACAACCACCAGTTGGATGGTCTTTTGTCTGGGTGATTCCAACTTCGCTTGCGGATCCCCTGGATGGAAACCACCAGTTAGATGGCAATCACCAGTTGGATGGTCTTTAGTCTGGGTCATTCCAACTTTGTTTGCGGATCCCCTGGATGGAAACCACCACTTGGATGGAAACCACCACTTGGATGGAAACCACCAGCCGGATGGAAACCGCCAGTTAGATGGCAACCACCAGCTGGATGCCAACCACCAGTTGGATGGAAACCAGTTGGATGGTTCTTGCATGGTTCATTTCGGAGTTCCAATTGTCATTCCCTGTCGAACCATTTCGAGGTGGCCCATGGCTCCATAGGCGGCGCCTGGGCACGAGCGCTGGAGCTGCTCGTTCACGTGGAAGGCGGGAAATCACCTTCGAGTTGCACCACAATTTTGTGGCTTTGCTTTGAGTTCCCCCAAATTGCCATTTTGAGTGTGTCTGTGTTGAGGGGACCCCCCCAAAAAAGAAATGGATTGAGGTGCATTCGTTAACTTTTTTGTTTTGAAATCACTCCAAATTGCCAAGTGGACAGAAATCCAATGGGCCCGGCTTGTCAACTGCTTCTAGGTTCCACTTCTGCTGGTCCTTTGGACAGAAACCTGGGGGTCTAGCACGATTCTCCAAATAAGTCCTGAGCTTCTGCATGTTTTTTGTGGTGGGGTGGTGCTTGGCTGCTCGGCCACCAAAGTTTGGAAGTGCTTGGCTGGCTTCTAACACATTTACAAGCTCCTCAGATTCGACAGAACTGGGTTGCTTACCCACGTGGGAAGAACGGCGAAGGGAGACAAAATGGAGATGCCGCAGTTATTTGTTCCCAAACCTTTTTCTCATGGCCACTGGGGTACCCCTCAATTGGTGGTTAGGCAGTTGAACCCAGTGCCTTTTGAAGCCAAATGGAGAAGGTAGCCGCCGGAACATGTCCAAACCAAACGAAGCCACCAATTGGGGCTAAGGTGATTAGTTGATGGTGTTTGGGATCATGGGGATGCTTTCTTAGGAGCCCCGTTGGCGTGAGCAACTCCGGTTGCACCTTCAGAATCCCCCTTGAAGCGACCATATATCAGGTCATGACCTTGGGTGGGCATCACGGCAAGTTTATCTAGATGTTTAACTGAGCCGAATTGACCCAATCTAACCGTTCGAACTCGGATTTGGCAATGCATGTTGGGTATTCAAGTAGCCAAATTCCCTTGTTGGGTCCTTTCAAAGGGCTCTTTGGTTCTTTGAGGCGCGGAATAACAAAAGCTCAACCTGTACCTGAGCCACGCCCAAAACCCAGATAAATGACACTTAGCAAAGCACAGTTTTAACCATACATAGGTGCGTCAAAAGGCCTTTGTGAATCTTTACCGTGGGTTTTGGGTAGACCTCTTTTTGGATGTTCAGCCAACTTCGCTAAACCCATGGTTATACCTGGCGCAGCTATGTTCGTTGAGCACCTGTCAGGTTTCGGCTTATGACTCTCCTTTGTTCGCAGGGGATGTCTTCGCCTGCGGGGGTGCCATCAATGGCCTTGCACGGGGCGCGCA